GCCTCCCAGATACCCTTAGAGCAAAGGGAAACTGTGAGTGTGGGCGGGAAGAAGGTTACAGCATGGAGGGACACTGGAGTGCAGGTGTCAGCTATCCATCAATCCTTAGTGGACCCCAACTTAATCAACCCAGAGGCCCATGTGATGATTCAATCCTTCAAGTCCAACTCTTTCGATCTGCCTACAGCCAAGTTACCTGACCAGTACAAGGGCTGGTCAGGAATGTGGACTTTTGCAGTCTATGATGATTACCCCATTCCCATGCTGCTGGGGGAAGACTTGGCCAACCAGGTAAAGCTGGCCAAGAGGGTGGGAATGGTCACCCGCAGCCAGACTAAGCAAGCTTCCACACCTATCCCTGTTCCTGAGCCTTCCACCAGGGCCCCGTCTGTGTTACCAGAGACCCACATGGAGGTGGTGGAACTGGATCCTCTGCCAAAAACTGCAACGGCAGTAGTGGATCCAGTCCCAGCGACCCAGCCCAAGCCAGTCCCCGAACTGAAACTGGCGAAGCAACCAGCACCAGAACCATTGCCAGCACTGAGTCCAGCGCTTGCAACCCCATCTACAGCTCCAACACCAGAGGGCACCACCGAGCTTGCACTGGCAGCAGCAGCAGATGACCCGACACAAGAGGCTCAGCCAGAGCCTGAAATACCCCATAGTGCACCAGCGGAGAGTGGTTCACCATCAACGGAAACAGCCCCATCACCTGCATCGCTTCCAGAGGGACCAAGCCTAGGTCCACAATCCAATGAGGAACTGATGTCTCCAGCATCAAGGGAACAGTTCCAGACTGAACAGGAAGCAGATGAAAGCCTCCAGAAAGCTTGGATGGCGGCATGGAGCAACCCACCATCTCTCAGGTCTTCTAATCGATCCAGGTTTGTTGTAGAAAAAGGACTTTTATACAGGGAAACTCTTTCTGGTGGACACCAGGAAGACTGGCATCCTCAGAGACAGCTGGTAGTTACAACTGAGTACCAGGTAAAGCTATTAAGCTTAGCCCACAATCATCCTAGTGGCCATGCTGAGGTGAACAGAACCAAAGACCATTTGGGAAAGTGATTCCACTGGGAGGGAATGGGCAAAAATGTTTCTACCTATGTCTGGTCTTGTGAGGTGTGCCAAAGAGTGGGAAAATCCCAAGACCAGGTCAAAGCCCCTCTACAGCCACTCTCCATCATTGAGGTTCCATTTCAGCGAGTAGCTGTGGATATTCTGCGTCCTTTTCTGAAAAAGACACCCAGAGCAAAGCAGTACATACTGACTTTCATGGACTTTGCCACCCGATGGCCAGAAGCAGTAGCTCTAAGCAACACTAGGGCTAAAAGTGTGTGTCAGGCACTAACGGACATTTTTGCCAGGGTAGGTTGGCCCTTAGACATCATCACAGATGCAGGGACTAATTTTCTGGCAGGAACTATGGAAAGCTTTTGGGAAGCTCATGGGGTGAATCACTTGGTTGCCACACCTTACCATCATCAAACAAATGGCCTAGTGGAGAAGTTTAATGGAACTTTGGGGGGCCATGATACGTAAACTCGTAAATGAGCACTCCAATGATTGGGACTTAGTGTTGCAGCAGTTGGTCTTTGCCTACAGAGCTGTACCACATCCCAGTTTAGGGTTTTCACCATTTGAACTTGTATATGGCTGTGAGATTAAGGTGCCATTACAGTTGGTGAAGCAGCAATGGGAGGGGTTTACACCTTCTCCAGGAACTAACATTCTGGACTTTGTAACCAATCTACAAAACACCCTCTGAACTCCTTTAGCCCTTGCTAAAGAAAACCTACAGGATGCTCAAAAAGAGCAAAAAGCCTGGTATGATAAACATGCCAGAGAGTGTTCCTTCGAAGTAGGGGACCAGGTCATGGTCTTAGAGGCACTCCAGGCTGATAAAATGGAAGCGTCGTGGGAAGGGCCATTCACGGTCCAAGAGCACCTGGGAGTTGTTAATTATCTCATGGCATTCCCCACCTCCAACCGAAAGCCTAAGATGTACCATATTAATTCTCTAAAGCCCTTTTATTCCAGAGAATTAAAGGTTTGTTAGTTTACAGCTCAGGGAGGAGATAATGCTGAGTGGCCTGAAGGTGTCTACTACGAAGGGAAAAGTGTTGGTGGCGTGGAAGAGGTGAACCTCTCCATGACCCTTGGGTGTATGCAGCGACAGCAGATCAGGGAGCTGTGCACTAGCTACGCGCCGACGTTCTCAGCCACCCCAGGACTGACTGAACGGGCATATCACTCCATTGACACAGGTAATGCTCACCCAATTAGAGCCCAATCTTACTGGGTGTCTCCTCAAGCTAAAACTGCTATAGATCGGGAGATCCAGGATATGCTACAGATGGGTGTAATCCACCCCTCTGGCAGTGTATGGGCATCTCCAGTGGTTCTAGTTCCCAAACCAGATGGGGAGATACATTTTTGCATGGACTACTGGAAGCTAAATGCCGTAACTCACCCAGACAACTATCCAATGCCATGCACAGATAAACTATTGGAGAAACTGGGACGGGCCCAGTTCATCTCTACCTTGGACTTAACCAAGGGGTACTGGCAGGTACCGCTAGATGAATCCACCAAGGAAAGGTCAGTCTTCACCACACATGTCGGGCTGTATGAATTTAATCTGCTCCCTTTTGGGCTGCGAAATGCACCCGCCACCTTCCAAAGACTTGTAGATGATCTCCTAGCAGGATTGGGAGAATATGCAGTCGCCTACCTTGACGATGTGGCCATATTTTCAGATTCCTGGGCAGAACACCTGGAACATCTACAAAAAGTCTTTGAGCGCATAAGGGAGGCAGGACTAACTGTTAAGGCTAAGAAGTGTCAAATAGGCCTAAACAGAGTGACTTATTTTGGACACCAGGTGGGTCAAGAAACTATCAACCCCCTACAGGCCAAAGTGGATGCTATCCAAAAGTGGCGTGTCCCAAAGTCAAAGAAACAGGTCCAATCCTTCTTAGGTTTGGCTGGATATTACAGGTGATTTGTACCGCAATACAGCCAAATCGCCGCCCCACTGACAGACCTAACCAAAAAGAAACAGCCAAATGCAGTTCAGTGGACTGAAGAGTGCCAGAAGGCCTTTAACCAGCTTAAAGCGACACTCATGTCTGACCCTGTGCTAAGGGCCCCAGACTTTGACAAACCGTTCCTAGTAACTACAGATGCGTCCGAGCATGATGTGGGAGCAGTTTTAATGCAGGAAGGACCGAATCAAGAATTCCATCCAGTCGTGTTTCTCAGCAAGAAGCTGTCTGAGAGGGAAAGCAACTGGTCAATCAGTGAAAAGGAATATTACGCTATTGTCTACACTCTGGAAAAGCTACGCCCATACGTTTGGGGATGGCGTTTCCACCTGCAAACCAACCATGCTGCACTACAGTGGCTTCATACTGCCACAGGAAATAACAAAAAACATATTTGGTGGGGTTTAGCTCTCCAAGATTTTTATTTCAACATACAACACGTCTCAGGAGCTTCTAACAAAGTGGCTGATGCACTCTCCCATGAAAGTTTCCCAGAATCAACTGGTTAAAATCGTCCTTGAGATGTGGGAAATTTTGTTAGTCTTTATACAGTTGGTAGTATATTTAGAGGTGCATGTGTCTTATTAATTCTGTTTTCTCCTAGAGCTCCAGGAAGAAATCACAGCCTGTGTTTTCACCCTATCTGTGATTTGGGGGGCGTGTCATATAAAAATAAAGGGAAGGGTAACCACCTTTCTGTATACGGTGCTATAAAATCCCTCCTGGCCAGAGGCAGAACCCTTTCACCTGTAAAGGGTTAAGAAGCTAAGATAACCTCGCTGGCACCTGACCAAAATGACCAATGAGGAGACAAGATACTTTCAGAGCTGGAGTGGGGGGGGGGAACAAAGGGTCTGTCTGTCAGTGTGATGCTTTTGCCGGGAACAGATCAGGAATGCAGTCTCAGAAACTCTGTTAAGTTAGTAAGTAATCTAGCTAGAAATGCGTTAGATTTCCTTTTGTTAAATGGCTGGTAAAATAAGCTGTGCTGAATGGAATGTACATTGAGGAGCGCTGGCAAATGAAGGCTTTCAGATATACTTGGCCTGAAGAGTTTTTAAAAGTCTGAGTTATACACTCATCACTCTAAATACAGTAGAGATAAGATAAAGCTGTTGAGCTACAGTGAGTGAAGCATGCTCTGCACCGTACTGCTAACAAAGTGGTCATTCTAGTTCTCCTTACCCTTTTGTTTTATTGCTTCTTAGTAGGGTTGCTCAAAGAACTTTGAACAAAACATTCTCTTGTTGTAAAATGGGGCATCTTTGAAATTGAAATTTTCCATAGGAAAAGAGCAATTTTGGCAGAGGTTTCCATCTGGAAAATCAAAACATGTAATTTCAGGTTGACTCCATATTAGTTTCTACTTCTGCCTGAGCCACTGCTGTGCGTCATGGGAGTTGTAATTCTGGGTTAGTCATGCCCCCATTTTCCCCTTTGGCCCCCGGTCCCTAGCCCTACTTCATCTTCCACGATGCCCCTCTGCAAGCTCCCTGTAGTAGAGTCTCCAGGAGGCAGCCTGGAAGCTGAAATGGATGCAGACATCAATGCTGACTTGACCCCACGTGAAACGAAGATAAACCAAAATGAAATGTTTTGACATTTCCGAATTGAAATTTTTCTGAATTTTTCATTCTGTGGAAAAAGTTTTGATATATCAACTTTTTGTCCTGATGTGGGGCAATATCTCAGGGACAGACATTCAATTTGTCAATTACAGTTGAGTTACATCTGTAGTGAATGAGTAAGCAAACCTGTATGGTGCACTAGACATTAAACTGAGAAGATTTTGATTTGATAAGCCAGAGAAAATCTGGAATAACCCCTGATATCAGAGGAGAATTTGCATTGCTGTAGCTAAGATCACAATACAGTCCAATGTAGAGGAGAAAAATAGAATATTAGATATTTCAGAGTCTACATTTCAGTGGCTTTTTCTCTTCAATTTTCTAGTGAAGCCGTTTCCTCCCTCTAACGTTAAGGCAGAAATCACCAAGAATGTTGGGCTGCTGAATGTGAGCTGGACAAACCCAGCATTTTCGAACAGCGATCTTAAGTTTCAGATTCGGTACTCTGTGAACAAGGAAGAAATATTGTGGGAGGTACTATTATATTTAATACAAAATAATGTTTTCATCCTTGCAGTGTTTGTGCATGCAAAGTCCATGTCAATCAACCAATGTATGTTGAATTCGTTCTAAATGATAAAGTATTTTAGTTTGCAATAGAATTTATTTTCTGCGGCAAAATTATATTAGTGGGCTGTCTTTTTCATTGGACTCAGTGGCAGGAGGTCTGAATTTACCAGTTTGAGGAATTAAGATCTCAGTCAGATGCCTAGAAAACTGTGTGGTGTTCCTAATCTAAGTATTTTTAATTCTTTTGCAGATATTTGAGGTTTCAAATGCACCAACAAGATCAGCCATGATAAAGGTACTGGACCTTTGTGTTGTATATATTGTTCAGGTGCGCTGCAGTGGACTAGATGGATTAGGTTACTGGAGTGATTGGAGTAAACCAGCGTATACCATTGTACAGGATATCCAAGGTGCGTGTAGTTTGTAAATATACTCTGAAGATTATAGTTTTATGCATGTGTGAAATTGTTCTCCTTCTTAAAATGGATGTAATTTTGCAGCTCCCCTGAGAGGTCCTGAATTTTGGAGAGTTATTAATGAAGATCCCATAAGGAAGCAGAAAAATGTTACTTTAGTTTGGAAGGTATGAAGAATTGTATTTCAGCTTCTGTCTCTCACTGTCTCTGTTTCTCACTCATGATATGGATGATGCCACAGTTTGATGGCTTTGTGGGATGCATGATTCAAAAGTGTTGGTGGAGTTACTGGAGGTGGGCATAGAGCAAGCACGTGCGGTCCTGAATGACAGACTCAAACATTCATTATTCATGGTCCTTTTATAGACAGTACAATTAGGACACAGCTTCATTAATTTTACCACCTCTCACTCAGCAGCCCTGTCAGGTAGTAGAGGTTCCTAAAAAACATTGGTGGCAGTACTGCAATATAATCAGAATATAGTTCTTACCTCTTTTCCTCCCATATCTTTCTCTCTTCTCCTTACTGCTTTCTGCAGTTGTCTCTCCCTCTCCCTTTTCCTTATACACTGAAGTCTTTTCTACCACAAGCTGGCAGAGCTGTTTTTCTTCCCTTTTCTCCAACTTAATAGGATAGAATCCTTCCCTCTGCTGTTGCTCTGGTTGCTCTGGATGGTTATGAGGTCACAGTGACTCTCCGTTCACTCAGTCAGTCAGCAGCCATTTTCATTCAGCAGCAGGGCAGGATTCCAGATTTACAGTTCAACAGAACACTCGCCAGTGACCCTGCTAACTGCCCTGGTTGTCACACCAGAGGCCCATCTTGGGTGAATAGGATCTGACCGTACCCTAAGCATAGTTACATGGGGCAATCAGTAGCACAGGCTGTATGGCGTTATTTGCTGCTCGTATTTGTTCATCACCCACACAGCATATACTGTATACACATAATCCCCGCCTCTCAAAGCAAGCAAGTCCTTTTGTTCTGCTAAAGAACCACTGCATCGCCAGCTCCTCTTCCCAACCTCCCAGCACCCAGGATAGGAAGGACAGTATTTTGGCCAGAGTGTAAAGCACTCACCATCCTTCCTGTCGAGACAAATCTTGCCACCTGGGCTGTACTGATTCGCTGCAGTCTGGAGGAATAGAAACTCCAATATCAGATGTATAAGTCAAATCATGATATCTTAAGACTTGACCAGGCAATACACAATAAAATATAATTGCAAAGATGTACCATTCATTTATTTTAAAAAGTTTTTTTTTAAATATTGCACTTGAGTCTGATGCTTACATGTGCCAAAAAACAAAGGCTTCAGCTGGCTACCTGCAGGTGTCAGGAAGGGATCCCCCAGGCCCCCCACCCCCATGTATTCTGTTGTGATGTTTTTTGTTTCCTTCCTCCGAAGCATCTAGATGGCCACATGGAGATGGGACCATGGACAGGGTAGGCCAGTGCTCTGAGATGACACTGAGACTTCTCTCTTTCAAAGGCTTGGCTGGCTGGTTCTTGCTCATATGCTCACTGATCGCCATGTGTGGCATCAGGAAGGAATTTTCCCCAGGTCAGATTGGCAGGGACCTTGGGGATTTTCACCTTCCTCTGCAGCATGTGGGTTGCTTTCCAGAATTATCTGGGTACACCTCACTTAGTCATTTCCCTGCCATTGCAGGACCCTCGGGCATTGTTGCACCTCAGTCCCTCTTATTCTCTGCCTTTGGCACACAATCTAGTCTCCCTTGGGCTTATTTTGGTTGTGAGGCCCTTCTGGCCTTAAACTCTATGATTTGGAGTCTTTAAAAACAGTGGATGCAAATTATATTGAAAGATGTTCGTCTCCATTTGCCAGATTCTCAGAAAAGGAGGCCAAGGTCTGTGTGCAGAATTGTTCCAGCAACTATAAACCATCCCCTGTACAATTGCTATGACTCTACGTGCAAACAGTGTAATTGCACATGCAAACGATTAGTTAGGTGACTGACTAACTACCTTTATTTGCACATGTAGTCATGGTAACTGTGCCTGCAGCCTCGCATGCATTATTGCATCTGGTCCTGAGTCTCTTTTACTGAAAATACTTCCCCAAATTAGGATCATGGCAATTCCTTCTGGCTCTGCATCCTTTAAAAATAATATAAAACGATGAGTTACCAGAGCAAACTAAAGGTTTGCATTTCCTCAGTCACACTTGTCTTAGGAGCTATGGTAAGTAGAGATGTCAGGCGTCAGTGATTATGGAAAAACTTTAGCCTGTTTAAATGCACAGCAATATTTTAGGTATAAGAAAAGTCGTCTCCCTGATGGGTATTATTTAGGGTCCTGCTCTCTCAGAACTAGAAGGCTGCTCTCTACTGTCAAGTGAAAATCAAACCCTAGCAAGCTAAAATATACTGATATTTCCTGCAGCCATTGATGAGGAATTACTCATTATGCAGTGTGTGTGGATATATTGTAAAGCATCACACTTCAGAAAACATCACTTGGACTGAATATGTCACCAATGGCACTACCTGTATGTTTCCATGGACTGAGGATGCACACACCATTACAGTGCTAGCTGTTAACTCAATTGGAGCTTCCTCAATGAATTTTAATTTAACTCTGTCGCAGCAAATGAGCACAGGTAAGACTAACAGGTTAGTAATAACACTGATGCATTCAGAAGATGTTTAACATTAGGAATGCCTACTGTGCTTTTGACAGTTTTCTTTTAACAAAGAAATCTTTATTAAGAAGGAAAATGTACCTCTTATGATGACTTTCTCTGCTATAATAGGAATGAAAAGCCTGAAACTCCACATTTTTAACAAAACTGAAATTTCCCAATATTTAGTTTCAGCAATGCAAAAACATTCCCACTGTGGGAACATTTTTGGTTGTTCTGAAATGAAATATGCACCCCAAGATCCTGGCTGCTCACCTGAGGGATGCTTGGATCCCTCGGCTGCCAGCTGGGGAGCTGGGCAGCCCTGGCAGCCTGCTGTGTGAGCTGTGGGGGACCCAGAGAACTGGATAGCCTGGCAGCCTACCTGGTGGACTGCAGGGGAACTGGAGATCCCAGGAAATTGAGCAGCTTGATTGACATGCTCCAGCTTTCTGAGAACCCTCTGCAGATGAGCAGTGGGAAAACTAGGGAGCCAGGTGGGCTGGCAGGAAACCAGGCAGGCGGGCTCGCTGGCCAGCCTGCTTCTTCTGTCAAGACTTTTGATGAAATCAACGCCTTCCTGTGGAACATTTTGATTTCCATTGACTCGGCATTTTCTGACAGCTCACTTATTCATTATGACTTTACACTTCATAGTAGCACCCTCTTTGTTGATTCACCCAGACTCTGCCTTGTTAGGTGGTAGTCTGTATTTTAAATGTCATGGGAAGCATTACTGCAATCTGTAGGCAGAGCTGAAATTTTGTCAACTAGTATTTAAATGCATGTGCTTTCTATGGGTCAAAGTCTGGCTAATGGTGTGCATGAACGTACCCCAGAAAGGCTGCAGCTAGCAGTAGGAGTGCAAGATGGAAATTGGCCACCTAGGTTCTTATCCCTGTTCCATAGAAGAGCGTAACACCACATGAGCCGTAGATTTATGCTCTGTTTTGCTAGCGACATTTTGATGGTTTTTAGCTATTACAGTATGTCTCAACTAAGGAGTGAAAGTTTGAAAGATCGAGGTAAGAACCAGGAATATTGCTCAAAACAGGAATATTGCTTAAGGAGAGAACGCTGTGTGAAATGTGGTGGGAACACAACCCACAGATTTGATCTGTTTAACACCTGGAGCCAGATACTCAGGGCTTGTCTACAGGGTGGGCTAATATGCTCTACAGGGGTGCGATTTCTCAAGTGCACTAACGATTTTCACATTAATCGGTCCATATAGACGCTGCTGGCGTGCTTTAATGTAGTGCTGTTTCAAACAGTACTACATTAAAACACACTAGGGTACCTTCTATATGAACTGTCAGAATCTGCATAGACTAATTAATGTGCAACATGTTGGTGTGCTTTAGAAATCACACCTTTGTAGAGCACATTACCCCACTGTGAAGATAAGTCCTGTGCTAGTGTAAAACAATGTCACTTCATTGACTTAAGTGGAGATGCAAAAATAAACAACAAAGAACCTAAACCATTATAATCTTTTTCATCTCTGTGTGGGATCTGAGATTTAGCATGTATAATCCAACTCTGATTTGGTATAGCTGATCTCATTTTAATCATGCTTTTTTTTGTTTTATCAGTGAATATTGTGCAGTCACTCAGTGCTTATCCAGTAAACAGCAGTTGTGTAATTCTGACCTGGACACTTTCACCTCAAATGTATGTGATGTCTTTTTTTCTTGAATGGAAAAACCTTAATGAGGAAGAACAAATGAAATGGATACGAGTTGCTCCAAATATTAGCAAATACTATATTTATGGTGAGTTTGTACTTGAAAATAAACACACGTGATATTTTTACCTGTGTTACACTGTGGTGAAAGGTTGCACTTTCTGGGTACATGAATCTAGCTTCTCTGCTGTTTCCTTCTCTCTCTTTTTTTTGTAATGAAAGAATACTTTGAGTGTTAAAGATTGCTCTTGGCTGTACTGGATCTTACTTGTCAGTTGAGGATCAACTATAGAGTTAATGACCTGGACTGATACAGGATTGCTGACTTGTCCTTATTGCTGTTAAAAACCCAGGCCCTGGTCCTGCATCACCTTGTGTCACGTGGGCATTGGTCCGCAAAGCCATACGCACCTTAGTCGCTGCGCACAAAGGAACTGCAGACTCGTTGGTTCAGATCTGCACAAACCTCCATATTCACTCTGGGCCTGACCCTCCTTTCATTTGCACCTGCTTTATGCTGATATATCTGCATTGATCTGAATGGAGTTGTTCCTGATTTACATCCATTTAAGGATCATCATTACCATATTGAACTTGGGGAAAAAGTATGCTTCATCTTTTTTACATCCTGTACATGTGTGGGTTTGTATTTGGTTGTGAGGAAGTGATAAAGAGGAAAGGTCAGTTATATATGTTATGCTAACACCAATATATGCTGAATGTATGTTAAATATAAATATTACATATATCTACTATTTATCCAGATTTTACTGTATGTGCTTTGGGGCTTTAATATTTATAATCTTTTCATCAAAAGCTAATAATTCCATAAGAAGAAATTGCTAATATATCCAAAATAGATTGTTGGGTCTACATTTGAATCCAAAATTTAAAGGATTAAATGAGAGAAAATAATTCTTCTTTTCCTGTGGGCTTCCCTTGAACCACTGTTGAATGAGATCAAAGCCTCTCTAGAGGCTAGTATTTTATAGTCTTACTAAATTGGAATTTAAACTCAAAAGTCTGATTTCTTCCTTCCAGATCATTTTATTCTTATTGAGAAGTACCAGTTTAGCCTGTACCCAATATTCCCTGAAGGAGTAGGCAACCCCAAAACAACTGATGGATTCATCAAAGGTGACCAATATGATCTTAATTTTTTTTTTATTAAGCAGCAGCTGGTTAGTAAAAGTTCCCTTTGAATATGATATGGACTCTTGCTCATGTTTTTATGAGAAACAACAAGAAAACTGTTTTGAAAACACAGTGATTGAGATATAACTGACCCTAGTTGAGTTGATATAAATTGGCATAGCTTAGAAGTCAGTGGAGTACCCCCACCAACTTTTCCTGGCACTGTCTCTACATTTTATTTAATATCATAATGCATTTCAAGTTTTGACCCATGTTTTCAAAAGGGTCAGTGTTCTGCAGGGGAAGGGCATATGTTGGGACAATCCCAAGGGGTTTCTGAGGTCCTATATTCCCATGGTTCTTCTGTGTATGGGCTACTCCCTTTATTTGCCTTAGTGATGATTCTGAGTAACAGGGGAACAACGGACTATCCCACAGAAACATGGGAGCCACTGAGTTTTTAGAGTAATTTCACGTCCTGTGTATTTGTACACAAGTCAGGGGTCCCTGGTGTGACACAGTACAATTTACTTAAGGGTGATACAATAAGCATATATAACCTACTAATGTACAGCGAGTAATTTGTTTCTGATTTGTATGCATACTGATCGTTATCTAAACTGTTCTATTTATAGATACTTTAAATTGCAGTAAAGTTAGGACTGATAACTGGAGAAATATTGCAAATAGATTGAAACAGATTCCTTTCGTTTTCAGATAGGAGTGAAAAACGGAATGATGCAGGCATCTATGTGATTCTACCAATAGTTATTTCATCCTTCGTTTTGTTGCTTGGAACTTTGCTGATCTCGCAACAAAGGCATGTTGTTTATTTCCATATATGATTCCCTAAATGTGCTTATAAGAAGACACTGCAGCTTAAAAAGTGTGTGCCTATAGAAACATTCACACCTAGTTAACTTTTGGGACCATTTATATATTTGAGATGTACATTATCTGAAAGGCAGCATAGTCTAGTGCAGTGGTTCTCAAACGTATTTGATCGCGCCCCCCCTTCTTCATGTCTGTAGTCGTTTATACCCCCCACACCATACAAGTACACATGCAACTCTCACTAAATATTAAAAACTGTAAGGCATTGATTCAAACAGAGCCATTTAAGTATGGAGTAATGTCAATTTGAAGTGAGATAGTGCTTACTAGCATCACACTGTTGTTACTAGTATGATGGGTGTGCCTGTTTTTTGAAGCAGAGCAATTGCATGAATTGCATGAATGAGCCAGTAACCCATTGTAATAAAAGCAAAAGCAAAACTGCGATCGTGGTCAATGCTTACAATTAAACGTGCACGCCACATCGTAGCAAACGGATTAACGTACAGATGGCAACGACTTTGTATACTTTTCCTATGCAAGCTTAACAGACATCCGTCGCAATGCACGGCGCCATCAAGAGTCAAAGGCACAGCACCATCTGCAGGCTGATATGTCTGGAGGAATCAGCCCCGCTAGTTATTCATTGCTGTGGGTAAAATGAGTGCAGCAAGCTTCTCATGCCCCCGCCCCCACCAAATACAACCCCCAATTTGAGAACCTCTGGTTTAGTGGATTGAACACAGCACTGGGAACTAGACATTTCTGAAAGCCCATGTTCAGTACCTTTGAAAATCAGGCCATTACCCTGTCTCTGCTTATGTCTTTGTGCTGCTATGATAGTGAGCAGTTCTATATTTCTGTCTTGAGCACTGCCATATACAATATGTATAATCAGTACTAAACCAATGCTTTGTCGAAACATTTCAGAATGAAGAAGCTGTTCTGGGAGGATGTTCCAAACCCCAAGAACTGCTCCTGGGCACAAGGAGTTAATTTTCAGAAGGTATGGGTTTCCATAGTGATACGTTTTTTTAATATGGGTTTGTGTTTCACACACTTACATTCAGTTTAAAGTGTTAAACTGTTAAGAATTATCCAAATAATCAAACACAAGATCTTGAAGCCATGGAGAGTGGCAAAACACAGGAGTTTTCTTCAGCCGTAGAAAGCTGACAGTTGGATGTGGGCCAGAACCTCGGATCAAGACCTATTTTGAAATTCATGGGCAATCTTAGGGTATGTTTACACTGCACTGTAACTCTCAGTCTGTGGACCCAGTGTTTCCAAGCCTGTTCTTGAGCATCCACACTGCATTGTAAACTTGGGCTTAACAGTTGCTGGACCCAGGTCTCTCAGCCATGCTAATGCATTCACACTGCATTATGCAGACCTTCTGACTCTGGTCTGCAGCATAAGCTGCATCCACACTGCAAAAAAGGATAGGGCTTGGACTCGAGTCAGAGCAGGACTTGGGCTCTGACTCACTCCTCCAGCAGCGTGCTAGGACACAGGTCCTGTATGTTTGCTGACCTGAGTCACACTGATTTTTGTGTGGGTGGAAGTGGGGGCTAGGACTCAAAGTTGAGTCAAAGTCCAGGCTTAGTGTTTAGTAGAGCTAAATCCTGCCACCAGATGATTCTTAGTTGTATGACACCCTTTGAAGTCAGGGGGCGGGGAGGGCACATGTCCACACCCAGGGCCAAATTCTTTGCTGGTGCAAACTGGCTCAGCTACAGTTGACCTGTGCCAATTTACAGACTTAAATGAACAGGCACCAGTTCAAACCAGCTGAGAATTTGTCCCTCTGTTCCAGAATTTGACACTTATTGTGTAGTCATTGAGATAGTAACTTAAAAATTCAGGATTACTATTTCATAAAGAAACTGCATCTAATGGACCATGACTGTTTGATTTTTTTCAGATATTTAATTTTCATTCCCAGTGAAGTTTTCTTTTCTCATCTTTTATTTTATTTCATTTCATTTAAACAGAGAATGGACATTCTTTGAAGTCTAATCATGATCACTTCCTGCTGAACCATTGTGCCAGCTCCCAGACTTCATATACAGAATTGTTAGAAGATTTTTCTGTTTACATTCAGAAGACAGGAAACACAGATACAATACATGATGATTGATTTAAAGATAGTCCTGGAAATAGTTTTGTTCAAAACTTAAGATGCCCATGCAAAATCAGGAACAATTGCCATATTGCAGTTTAGAGCAGGGTTTGCTACACATGTCGGCAAAAATCTTGCTTTAAATCACATTTTTAGTGACCTGTTTATTAAGGCTCTGATTTGCAGAGGGCTGAACACTTTCATCTCCTAGGCTTCAATAAGAGATGAGAGTGCCCAGCACCTATGAGGCTGGAGCCATAGAAGCAGAAATATCAGAATGGTCTGAGATTCAGCTAGTTAAGTGCAAGACTTGCCCCATTATCATCTTAAAATAATTCTTTAACAGAGTTATTGGTTGTTTAGCCCAAGAACTAGCCTGATTCTGATGCTGAACAGCTTTGGGAATTTCCACTGACTTCAGGCATGTTGAGGATGTACACAGCACTGCCATAAAGGTCAATGGGAGCTGATCACATGCATCTGAGTGCAGAATTTAGTCCAAAGAATTTGCAGAAATAATTCAGAATGTTCATTGTGCCAAAGTTTTCTGTGACAAGCACCATTGTCCATGTTGTGGTGTGTAGACAGGTACTTCACTCACTATCATTTAAACACAAAGCTATTATCACAGCCACTTTAATAATAGTGTCTGACATTAGGTGTGTGTGTGTGTGTGTGTACAAATCTGTTGTTACCCTTAATATGGCAACTTCTGCTTAGTATAATCTCCATTTAGCATCGTTTCCTGTTTTTAGCTAACCTATTAAAGTCTTTTTTTCTTTTTTGTTTGAAGTGTTGCTGTATTGTTAGAATGCAAAGAATATCATTTAATATTAAACAAAGTTCATTGAAATATATAATATAGGGCCTGATACAAAGCTCCCTGAAGTCAGTGAGACTTTTTCCATTAGCTCCATGGAGCGGTGGACTAGCATCACAGTGCTGCTATACTGACAAGGATGGCAAAAATGCCTTACAATTTTGAAAAGTATCAAATATGGCTGTAGGGCTTTGAACAAAGATTTGCATATTGCTGGAGGAAGTGTGTGAGTGTGAGTAGCACAGAGACCTTTTTATTTACTTAATTAATTTAGCTATATATAGAAAAGGAAACTTATCACCACCGCCCCAATAACTCACATGTTGGATCAGGGACTGTGGGCCTGATTCTCCTCCCACGCTGGTGTAAATCAGGAGTAAGTCCATTGAAATCAGTGAAGTTAGACTAATTTACGAACAGCCAAAAGAGAGTAAAGGATTTATACTCCCATGACATTATTCCATATTCTTATGTCCTGTTGGGTTCCTAGCTAAGGAGAAAGAAGTTATGCATGTGAATATAAAGTGTTGTGACAAATTTCTGTCCTTGCCTCTGTGGGTCCCGCATTTCCTGGCAGATTTCGCTAGCCTCAGAGGCTCACTGTGACCCTCCACATAACCCTTCTTTCTCTAGAGACAAGGATCACAGTCTACTGAGCCATTTTCATCATAAGCCAGCGAGGGAGGTGAGGAGAAGTTATCCTTCCTTGCACGGTCTCTGTTGTCTCCCAGTCTCAGTGATTAATCAGGGGCAAAGCAGGGGGGGAGCCCAGGCCCACCCCCTACTCCAGGATCCCACCCAAGGACCCTAATAGTATCACCTATGGTAGCTGACCTTTTAGAAACATGACATGTACAATTCCCTGGGTTACTTCCCCCACAGCAGCCCTCACTTCCTCAAGCTCCACTTCACCCTTACCTCAGGGCCTCCTTCCTTGTGCCTGATATGGTGTGTACTACTCAGCCTCTCCAACAGCACAACTTCCTCCCACAGCTCCTGACATGCACAACCACCTGACTGACTGAGAGGCTTTTAACTAGTTTCAGCCAGCCCCTGATTGGCTTCAGGTGTCCCAATCAACCTAGCATTCTCCCTGCCTTCTGGAAAGTTCTTAATTGGCCCCAGGTGTCTTAATTGACCTGGAGCAGCTGCCATTTCACTTATCCTGGTACCAGGGATTTGTTTAGCCTGGAGCTAAAATATCTATCTCCCACTACTTTTCTATAGCCATCTGGCCTTGCCCCGTCACAATGTATTGTGCTGAATGGGAAATTGAAGGGTCATGTGACCTTTGACAGCATGTACTGCAATACAGTCTATCTTCGCAAAAAGAAAAGGAGTACTTGTATTTAATGCATGCTTCCTTCGTACACTTTATTAATCTTAGTGAAAAATGGGCCACATGGGTATGTCTACAATGCAATAAAAGACTCATGGCATGGCTGAAGCTGGCCCGGGTCAGCTCACTTGGGCTCACAGGCCTTGGGCTGTGGGGCTAAAAATTGCAGTTTAGGCATTGGGCAAAGACTGGAGCCCGGGCTCTGAAACCTTGCGATGCAGGGGTGTCTCGGAGCCCAGGATCCAGACTGAGAGGGAGACTGTCTACACTGCAACTTATAGCCCTGCAGACCAAGCCCTGTGAACCAGTCAATTCACCAGGCTCTGAGACTCGTTATTTTTATTGCAATGTAGACGTACCCATACTGTCCTCAGATGAGCACCGTTGAGTCTCTCTGATTCCATGTGCATCCAAGGCCAGGGTCTATACGCCTTTGAAAATAGAAGGAATTTATGGAGCTGGGGCCAGATTCTGCCCTCATTTATTTGAATGCAATTTCCAGTGGGAAAAACGAAGTGTAGAACTTGTACTGTAACTCTCACTAGCTTTGATACCCATTGCCTGGATAAAACTTCCACATATCAGCACTAGAAACCTCTAACATCCTTATGTCTGAAGCCACGTGTAACTCTTATTTTCTTTTGATACGTCTGTCAGAATGCAAGGTTAACTAGAGTCAATAATTGATTACTAATGTGTGTATTTGCTATAGTATGTTCTATGATTGATACTGCAAGGCTGTATTTATGGAGTATTAGTTTAACAAAATATTATCATTTTTAACCATTGATGCAGTACAGCATAGGATGGGTAAATCCTGCATCTGTACTGTAATCTTGCAAAAATGTACACGCGTGCTTAATGTTAAGATTATGGATGATCCCACTGATTTTCCAGTGAAATGACTCTTGTACTTAAGGATAAGGATGTGAATAAGTGTTTGCAGGATTGGGTCATAGGGTCTAATCCTGCAGACCTTACTTATCCAAAGCTCCAAATGATTTCCAAGGGAGATATGGCTGAGTAATGACTATGGCACTATCCCTGAAAAGATTTATGCACATGTTTAACTTTGCATAGTGTGAGTAGTCCCATTGACCTCAGTGGGATTATTCCCAGCGTGTAAAGTTAAGCAGGACCTAAGGACTGCAGGATTGTGAGTGGAGCATATTTTTAGTCTTCTTGTGTCTGGCAAATGAGTGTGAATTAAATTTTACTCTGTGCCACCTAATGCCATAAGTATTCCCTTTTGGTTTCATAGAATTATGTTAACTGCTATAAAATATTTGCACAAATCATACGACACACCTGTTGAGAACATATTTTACAGCGATATTTACACATATTACTCTGTCATTATTTACATTATATTATCGTATTACATCTTTCTCAGGAGATTGTATATTCATTGTATTTATATATTCATCTAATATATTTTACTTAGTGATGTGTTTGATTCAGCAGAAAGTGACCTTTACTAATTGAAATGTCTATTTTAAAAAGTGGTATTTGATAATTTAATTTTTGATATTTGATAAAATGTGATAGGCAGTATTCTTAATGTGATTCTGTAGAATTCATATCCAGAGTTATGCTTATGCTTCGGAGCATAAGTCAACCTTTAGTAATTGGTGGTCAGAAAGAAACATGCTTGCCGAGAGGTCCACAGCTGCCTACTGTGGGATTTCTGCTCTGAAGTATCTTGTACTGGCCACTGCTGATGAGAGAATACTGAACTAAATGGACCATTGATCTGATTCATTACAACAGTTCCTACATTCCTACCTGGATTCATAGGTGATCTGCCTTAGGGAAGGATAAATTTCAATAAGGGACATTCAATATGAATTAAAGACATTGCTTGGTATATGCATTGTAGCAACTGTCTGCAGCTCATTTCAGTAATCAGTTTGCTAATTTTAAATGTCATATTCACAGTACTTTTGAAGTCCATGAGAGTTCTGAGCATGCAAGCACTGCAGAAGCTATCCCAAATCAGCATTTAGGCTACAATTCAGCAAGGTACCAAAGCAAGTGTTGACATTTAAATGTGTGAGTAGTTTAAAAACATGCTTAAATACCTTGCTAAATCAGGGCTTAAATGCTATGGTGATGGCTATTCTAGGTTAAACAAACACCCACGAGCCTAAGATAGATAAAATTGTACCATACCTTTTTATAATGTACAACAGCCTAAGCATTTTGAAATTTGGAATCATTACTTTGGAAGGTTTCCTGCTGTGATATAATATCTGTATGGTTTGTTAACATAAACACAATCTGTTGTGTTTAACTAATTATTTTTTTTATTTGTCTTAATTAAATTCATCAGTGGGTATATACTTTAAAGTGAACTTTTCTTAGTAGTAAATAGGAAAGCCAGTTTCCTATTATCAATTTATACTGCGGTATATTTGAAATGTTTATATATATTTCACATCCTTTATGATGTAGGATAAGATGCATTTCTTTAAAATAAGTGTGTGTGTGTGTGTGTAAATTTCAAACACGCAGTCCTTACTCACAGGTGAAGAGCCTAAAAAAATTATTAGATGGCAGGATTTGACTCTAGATAGTATAATTGTAACAGGCAGGGTCATTTCAGTTGTGTGTAAATGATTTTGATTCATTTCTAATATGCCAAATTGCTCATGCAATTAAAATAAAATGCCCAAAAAAATCCTGTAGCATATAAGGCTTTATCCTGCAAAGCACTAAAGTACTAGCTTCATTTTAAGGACATGAATAGTGCCATTGAAATTAATGGACTTTGCTGAATTAAGCCAGAATGCTCAGCACTTTCCAGGAGCAATCCTTCCCTGCACGTATAAGACACAGGCATGTGCTTGCTTTCTCTATCCTCAGTTCCCCCCTTTGATACCCTGCCACATAGCAGACTTAGGTTTTGTTTGTTTTTCATCAATGTACTTTTTATAAAGTTTTCATCTGTGGCTCTTAAGTACAGTAACTTCACATTGAAATAAAACTATTAACTGATAGATGAGCATTAAAATATGTCTTTTCTTCTAGCCTGAAACTTTTGAGCATCTTTTTATCAAGCATCCTGAAGCAATATCATTTGGGCCTCTTCTTCTGGAGCCAGAAATAGTTTTGGAAGACATCAATGTTGCTAAAGCATTGAAAAGTGAAGACAAGCAAGATTTATTAGCAGTTGATTCAATGTTCACAAAGATTCAAGACTCTGAGCATGACTCGGCTTGTTCTAGCAGCCATTTCAGTAACAGCCTTTCTGAGAGTTCCCATGATGACAAAGTCAGTGAAGGAATTACGAGACAGTCCAATATTAAGTACGCTACAATTATCAGTAACTGCAAATCAAGTGGGCTTTGTGAACAGCAAAAGAATCTAAGTGGTTCATTTAATGGATGCTTCTTAGGTGAAGACTCCTTAGTTACAGATTCTTTCTCTAGGTCATGGGAGGTGGGAAATCAGGCATTTCTAATATTGCCTGATCAACATCCGAGCCAAGCCAGCAAAACGATATCCCTTTCTGTTGTTTCTTCTGAGGGCTTTTCAGAACCTTCAGACCACGATGACATTTTCAGTGATGGAGACAGTCCTGAGAGGAGCCTTTATTACTTAGGGCTAACATCGATTAAAAAAAATGAAAATGAAATTTTTTTAACAGAAAATTCTAGAGTGATGTGTCATCTTCACACAAATGGTTTATTCAAAGACATGGGGTTTCTTCAGGATACTACTTCTGATTTAAATCCCTTTATCAAAAATAGCCTTAAATATGAAAACTCTGTTAAAACCTTTGTACCATACATGCCACAATTTCAGGCAACCACCGTTAAACTACAAGAGACAACAGAGACCAAAACTTAAGTCATAACAGCATAGTCCCATATATCTACCTGATTGCTACTGTTAGTATTTTTTTTAGAAGGGTCAATATCTTCCCCACCCACCTCTCCCCTCAGGAAACTCTCAAGAATAGTGAACGTGTAATGCCCACATTTTGAAGTTGGATGCCTGCGCCTACATTTGACTGACATAAATCAGCACTTTGGCCCCACAGAATTCCACATAGTGGCCTAATTTAAAAACCTCAAATTAGGGCTTTCATTTCCTCATTTTGTTGTTTCAAGTATTTGGTACTTAATTAGCTATTTGTGGTGCCTACTCTACATGTTTCTCTGACCATGTCCTCTTGCAAACACTCCAATGAGAAAGTTGGTCTTGAAAGGTCCTATGACAAGGATTCCAAAGGTGGCATTTTATTTAAACTTCTCTTTGTTAGGACAGATCCTAGTCTAAGGCCTGTCTTGGGACAGGCCCTTGGCAGCTTTATAGCAGTCCTGGACCACAGGTGATTCCATCAAATGTGCATGGCTACTAAGCCCCTCTCCTTCTGGGAGAGGGGAGCCCATTGCAACTGAGGAACTGAGTGATGGCACTGAAGATGAAGTGCTTGCCCAACACCACACACAATAGCAGGCCGCAGTCCCAGCACACAGTGCCAAAGGAGCCATCTGTCAACGGAACCACAACTCTCAGTAGAGGTAAGGATCTAGGCAGAGGCCAAACACCTCTGAAAAAGCTCTTTGAGAAGGCAGTGTTTTCTCTTCCCCAACTTCCACCTGCTGCAGCAGCAATGGGTTCAGGGTTATTGCAGGCTTAGGGCTGGAGTAGCCCATGCTTCCCCAGCTGGAGGCAGAAGATGAAAGCAGGCTGCACATAGGGAGCATGGCCTTCCTGATCTCTCCCCCTTGCACAAGCAGCTCTGTAGTGCCTAAATGCAAAGATGGGAAAAGTCCCCTTGTGGACAGTTCTGCACAGCAATTGTCTGTCCAAAGTAGAAGTCACTTGTTCAGCTAACTGGTGTGGTAACAAGGGGCCAGGCTTTCATGGTGCGGGGGAGCGCACACGTGTGCGCTGTAATGGCCTGAGGTGTCTTGCTGGCCAGTGTGGAAAATGTTTACTGCACAATGCAAACCTCCAGAGCAGCCAAGCAAAAAAAAAAAAAAAGAAAAGAAAAAGGGGGTGGGGGAAGAATCAGTCTCCGAATGCAAACAAAAGGCAGAGCAGCAGCTGTACAATGTGCCCAGGCAGCTAGCAGCTCGTGCAGCTGCCCTGCTTGCTTACCTCTAGAACTGGCCCTGTGTGTACGCACACCTGTCTATACACGCAGAGAGTATGTTCACCACTTAGGAGTGAAGTACCCATCCCATTTATATAGTGCATATAGTATAAGGAGAGCTCATCATCATCTCAGGCTAATGTGATGGGAGCTCCCTCTCCAGCTTAAATACCTTTTATGTATAAAACAATGCTCCTATAGAAACCAGAGCGTCTGTTAACGAAACTCATTTGTGCTGGGTAGCGTCATACACAAAGCCCCAGCATATTTATGATGGCTAACAGTGAGTATATGCTGTTTGTTTCGGTGGGGTCTACATTAAATTGAATATGTAAAAAAGAAGACCGAGCTGGTAGCAATGATTACTTTAAAGAAAAGTACTTGGCATCCTTCAAGTAAATCCTTGACAGTGAGACGTTTACCAATATAGGGGGCGGGTTTGGCCTAGCTTCCCCCACACTGTCCCTTTTAAATAAAAGTGAAGGCATCTACCATTGGGAGTGAATAATTACAGGGAAATTATGCCTGTCAATCAAGGGAAAGTGCGTTAAGTAGAACAACAGTGTATAAAGCATTGCCAGAAATAAGAGAATGTATCGGTAGCTAGAGATGTACATTTAGTGCAGTAAGATAACAGGAGTCAGACTTCTTGTGGAAGGCTTTATAGCCTCCCCGTTTTTGTGGGGTTTTGCCTCGGCAAAATAGTGCATCCGGAAATAAAATGGGCACATTTTTGGAGGCCCCTTTTGAAAATGAGGCTCTAGTAGTGAAGGTACCACAATAAAGTACCCTTTATTTCCAGTCCCATTTCATGAGACCCCATTATAGAAAAGCAATGTTAAGAAGCTACTGTGGTCAAATGGCAAACAGGTAATGATTGGGAGCAAAAGGGTCTTTCCTATATTTTTAATCCTACTGGGATTAAGATTCTCTGTGTGAGCTCAGGCAAGTCACTTCACCTCTTTATGCCTCAATGAACCCAGCTGATAAACTGGGTAGGAAGTAGGGTCTCGGAGAAAACCAGATGTTGTGTCTCACCTGAATTTTCTATGGTAAATTACAAAACAAAATAAAAATCCAAACCTATTCTTAAACCAAATATGTATTTTCTACTCTATAATGACTAATTATTTTTATATTGAGAATTTTTCAATTAATTATTTTGAAGAACTTCTAAACAGTATTCAAATATGTAAGGGTATTGAGTTTAGAAATAATTCCAAAATTTACTCTACCCAAAAGCAATGTAAGTGATTTAAAAACAACAACAAAAACTTTGAGCTGTGCAGTAGAACTTTATTTAACTAGGAACAATAGGAAATGCTATAGAGTAAAAGGGCTCTGAGCAAATTTTTTACACTTTCAAAGGTAACTACTGATTTTGGAGGTTTCCATTTCTAGGTGCCTGACATGACACCTTAAAGGGTTCTTACGTTCACAGGTTGGAGTGCTTTATGCTTTCTGAAAATCAAGTATCTCAGGTTGAGCACCCAAAATCATTAGTTACTTGAGAATTTAGGCAATCAAAGGCCTGTTGCAAAGTCCACTGAAGACAATGGAAAGACTGCTATTGACTGCAGTGGGCTTTTGGTCTTGCTCATTGACGTGCCATAAGATTGACTCTTATATGTGGTGTTAGACACTGGAATTTAAAGATAACATGAGTAAAATAAATGAAAAGTTCTCACTAACATCCATGTAAATATATCAGTCACCAGCTGCCCAGTTAGACAACACATGAAAAATGAAATTCATCCCTTCCTGCACAAATATCTGACCACATGGAATGTGGAGAATTCTCCAAGTTCTGGGAAGGATGGCATTTCATCACTTGAGTGGCAAGCAGACCTAGGTGTTGCAATGCGGCCCTTCTGACTGCTATTCCTGCAAATCCTGTATCTTCCTTCATAGCTTCTGAAGGCTCCAGGCAGTGAAACCAGTATGGTTCTGCTATGCAGAGGGAAACCTGCATGGGTTCTACTCGCACCGCAGAGTACGGTGGAGCCTAGCTCTGAGGGGACTCCCTCTGTGTACCTGTGCAGCAGGATTTGAGGATGGGGGAGGGGAGGAGCAGTCACAGGACTGGCAGAGCCACAAGCCTTTTCTTCCTGTTAATCCAGGATGCTGAAATGTTCTGAACTGCTGCACCCTCAGCAGTGGATTAACTACTACAGAGCAACTGTATCATCACTCCACGACATGGGGGAGGGATCCTTTCCCACCCCAGGCCCAAAAGAATCCCCTGCCACAAGCCAGGCTTCTCTGACTTGGTGCTGGAGGCAGAAAGGATTCAGTTCATTATGAAGACTGAAATAACAGAAACTTGAAAAGATGGTATGTCTCATTGAGTTTCATTTTGTTTTAAACTCTGGGTATTGTTCAGAATTTTCATATTACCAAAACTAGCTAGTAGCTTTTGAAGTAAACGAAGAGCTAACTGCAGTTTTGCAAATCCTGATGTAGATCACTGCTACAAGGCCCTGATCCAGAAAAAAGCTTAAGCACAGGTGAAGCTTTACGCATGTGAGTAATCCCATTGACTTCAAAGAGGCTAAAGGCTTTCCTGGATTGGAACCTAAATCAAAAGGGATTCTCCTTCTGGTTCTGTGAACATGTGTATCATAGAACAAGCGAGTTAAGACTTCTACCACTGATCTTGTTTGGGTCAGTATGAAATAACATGACTAGGTGTCACTGCCATGAAAAGTTCCAGTGTGCAATCATCACATCTTCCGTATTGCCCTTCTCTCTACAGCCTCCTTAATTTCCCTCCCTGCAATGCCGCTAAACTCAGAACACTGTGCCTTACCATTTATACGTTGCTTGGCTAATCCTGCCACCCAATGGCCAGTGTGCTCAAAACGAAGTGCAGGCTTGGAAGCATTTGGGGGGCCTAATTTTTCAGAAGCGGAGAGCGCCCACAGCTCCAGTTAAAGTCAATAGGTGTTTCAAGTCCTTAGCGCCTCTGAAAATCCAGCCCTTAGCCTGCTGTGCCTATTTATGGTCCCAGCCATCTTCCCCCTACCCAACCATGCATAACAACTGGTCATCCTTTAAAAACTAATTGCTTCAGTATTTGCAGAATTCTGTACGACTAGTGAAAGGAATACTGCAAATTCTGAGAGTGCCTCTATTTAATTAAGGGGGGAAAGGCAGGCTTGTATGGGCAGCCACTGTACAATTTATACAATTTTTAATCCCTTATTTTGTGTGTTGCATATTTAATCTCTTTTTTTGCTAAAGCAACCTCAAACCACCTCTAAATTCCTATATTTTTGATAGATCAAAAGCAACTCTTTCCCTGACCTTGTGGAGTAAGGCAGGAGAAATTTCTACCATCCCATTTTATTACATGGCATCTTCAGCATCATCTGTATAAAACATTAAATCCCACTCTTTATCTCTACACTCTTCTGTAAAAAGGCAACACCTGCATATCCTGGATCCACCATCTGCTCCCCTCTGTCTCTGTGCTCCTTTAATCCCCTGTAATTATTGCTAAGGTGAGCGGTGTGTGCCATTTCTTTCTTTGACAGTGAGGATTAAGAGTTGGCAGCGGTTATGTAATTCTTTTCTTGAAATTACTCTTAATGAGTCTCCTTCAATCTTTCCTCTTTCTGTTGTACTTTAACAGAAATTGGATATCTGTCATATCACCTCAGATAATTGTTTTTAAATTCACCCTTTCTACATTAACAGCCTGACGACATTTAACATGCCTGGGGTTGGCAATGTATTCATTTTAAGAGTGACCAAAATCATTAGTGTCTATTAATTATAAGGATAAACAAGTAGATTTTATGCATAAACAGATACAGTTACAAAGTAATTTTGGAAGGATGATTCACCACATTAGCTCAGACTTTAGAGAGCTGTAAAGGGAATGGCATAGAAATTCAATGGAGAGCCTACTGCTATTGTTTTCTTTGATGGTTTGTTTGTTTTTGCTTGATTCTCTGTGTTACACTCTGTACAGGAATTCTGGACCAGTTAGCTGAATGATCACACATGCAGTCTGTGAATCGGCAACTGGTAAATCCATATATAGGTCAACTGTAAATTTCAAATAGCTATTTGTTCTTGATCTCAGGGTGGAAGTTTGGTCATCAGTGATTTGGGGCCAGATTCACCTCTGTAAGTGAGCACAACTCCACTGAACAATGGAATTGCACCTGCTTATGACAGTAGTGAATTTGGACCTTGATCTTCTAAGTGCACATCTGTTGGCCCATACTCTAAATGCTGCATTGAAATCATATTTGCAAGCATGTTTTGGGGGCAGGGGGGTTCTGGATCTCATTTTCATGTGCAACAATGGAACTTAAATACCCTATAAATATACATATATTTTAACATGGGTTCAGCAGCTGGGATAGGGACATATAGGAAACTGAAATCCTGTATTGGTTGCATTGGGCCAAATCTCTCGCCATGATTAAGTTTAAGGAGTAGCTGAAGTAACACCACACAGACTAGTATAAAATGGCTCTGTATTGAGCCAACCATGGCCTAGTCCTTGAGGAGAAGTGGAGGGGATCATAGAATCCAGAAACGTAAGGCAGGAAGAGACCTCAGGAAGTCAAGTCCAGCCCGCTGAACTGAGGCAGGACCTAGTGAACTTAGACCATCCCTGACTGGTGTTTGTCAACCTATTCCTATAAACCTCCAATGACAGGGATTCCACAGCCTCCCTTTGAAGCCTATTCCAGTGCTTAATGACCCTTATAGTTAGCAAGTTTTTCCTACTATCTAACCTAAATCTCCCTTGCTTCAGATTAAGCCCCATTATTTCTTGTCCTAACTTCAGTGGACATGGAGAACAACTGATCACCATCCTCTTCATAACAGCCCTTAACATATTTGAAGACTCTTATCACATCACCCATCAGTGGGAGGATGTGTCCCCACCCAGACGTGAGGGGCCATAAAACTGGCTGACATGGAAAAGAGACAAAATACTCAAGCAAATGTGTTTCCTACTCCATATTTCTCCTCCTGAGCAGAACTTCCTGGAGTCTGACCCCTCTTTCCTGCTAGCCTAGGGAAGTTACTGCAGGCCAAGGATAATAGGAAGATGGGGAGAAAGAGGTGGTCAGGAAGAGGGAGCCAGCCATCATCCTGTGGGGAACTGGGTGAATGGAGCAGGAAAGGAGGGTGGCTGAGGGAAAGAGTTCTTCTCTTCTGTCTTCTTCAACTTGATGACCTTCATCTTCATCCACTGGATGATAGTATCCGTCAGTCACCATATATGGATCTTGGGTAAGTGGACTCCTGAACTCCACCTCAGTAAAGAGATGGCTTAGCCCTTAGGCAGCCATCTACATTCAGAGGTAAAAAAGAGTCCCCTCAGGATGAGTGGAAAAATCATGGCTGTGGAGCACAGGTGTGCTGCAGAGGTCTTGAGGGCACTATACCATAAATGGACCATAGGCTATGACTTGGCCCAGAAAAAGTACAGCATGGGTACTGGCAGTAAAATACTTTCCTATCAATATACCTCACCTTTTGCTAAGAATTCAGATTTAAGTCCCTTCATTTGCCAATGCTGAGACTGCCAGTAAGATTGCAAATTCTGTAGAGTGATTTTTGTGGTATGGTTACTCATCCACCAGGAAAACATTTCAGTTTAAACTGCCTAGCAAGCAACTTTAGGAGGAACATATATGACTTCTGAAGTAAATAACTATAAATCCTAGAACTAAAGGCTTGCAAATTAATTTTGAATAGCATTCAAGAGTATAGACCAGTTATGTTAAAAATATATTAATTAATCAAATGTGGTGTTATTGCAGTTATGGGTCATTTGCCCTTCAAGGTTAGATGTGCATTTTATTTTTTTCTTTAGGATGTTATAAGTAACAAGAATCGGTTAAAGTAACAGGAAATTGCATTTTCATGTATTCTGTATATTTGTGGTTTATTAGTCTGTTCAGTTTGAGTCATTGTTTTGTCTAATTACCCTTGACTTTGAACGTATGGAATGGAATGTTGGGGGGGGGGGTGGTCCTTGCCAAAGCTGTAAATTAAATTTTTATGTGGCTT